AGGATAAAAGTTGATTTGCTTGTAAACATAAAATCTCAGTCTGAAGTTGTGGAGAGTTCCGGGGTCACCGCTACATTATGATTCGGGGTTCCGGCACGGACTCTGCAATGCACTTGTGGGGTAACACGTTGGCTCCGTTCAGGTAAAGCTCGTCGTTGACGATAACGTCCTCGCCCAGCACAGTCACGTTCTCCATCCGGACCTGAAACACAAAGACGGAGCCGTCACCTTTCCACCGCCGACGGTGTGACCGAGCGTAACCCATAGCGACCAATCACAGGCATCGGCTCAGCGATAAGACCGCCCCAATTTCTGCCCTCCTGAAGAACCCGGACTGATCCCCACCAAGGAGCGACCGGGGCATACAGGTCACCCGGGGCATACAGGTCACCCGGGGCATACAGGGCACCCGCGGCATACAGGTCACCCGCGGCATACAGGTCACCCGCGGCATACAGGTCACCCGCGGCATACAGGTCCCCCGCGGCATACAGGTCACCCGCGGCATACAGGTCACCCGGGGCATACAGGTCACCCGCGGCATACAGGTCACCCGGGGCATAGAGCAGAGGCCTCGGCGCCCCCCGGAGAAGATCTCATCCATGGAACCTCACCCATTGTCCTACAGCCGTGCTCCACCCCACTATGGAGGACTCCAGCCAGGAGTGGGAGCGGATCCGCGAGCCCTTCATGACCGTGCAACGCTTTATCCGCACTCCGTCCTCCACCGTCACCCCCGGCCCGATCGTCACATTGGGCCCAATGCAGCAATTCTCCCCGATCTTGGCTGTGGGGTCCTAGAGAGGAATGAGTGAGAGAGACACTCCATCACCACAGTGCCATAGAGTCTGAGGAGGGGCCCCACTGCCAGTGTCACCAGTCACCCATCCGCTCCTCCCCCACACACACATCACATGGCACCTCCCAGTGTCACCCATCCGCTCCTCCCCCACACACACATCACATGGCACCTCCCAGTGTCACCCATCCGCTCCTCCCCCACACACACATCACATGGCACCTCCCAGTGTCACCCATCCGCTCCTCCCCCACACACACATCACATGGCACCTCCCAGTGTCACCCATCCGCTCCTCCCCCACACACACATCACATGGCACCTCCCAGTGTCACCCATCCGCTCCTCCCCCACACACACATCACATGGCACCTCCCAGTGTCACCCATCCGCTCCTCCCCCACACACACATCACATGGCACCTCCCAGTGTCACCCATCCGCTCCTCCCCCACACACACATCACATGGCACCTCCCAGTGTCACCCATCCGCTCCTCCCCCACACACACATCACATGGCACCTCCCAGTGTCACCCATCCGCTCCTCCCCCACACACACATCACATGGCACCTCCCAGTGTCACCCATCCGCTCCTCCCCCACACACACATCACATGGCACCTCCCAGTGTCACCCATCCGCTCCTCCCCCACACACACATCACATGGCACCTCCCAGTGTCACCCATCCGCTCCTCCCCCACACACACATCACATGGCACCTCCCAGTGTCACCCATCCGCTCCTCCCCCACACACACATCACATGGCACCTCCCAGTGTCACCCATCCGCTCCTCCCCCACACACACATCACATGGCACCTCCCAGTGTCACCCATCCGCTCCTCCCCCACACACACATCACATGGCACCTCCCAGTGTCACCCATCCGCTCCTCCCCCACACACACATCACATGGCACCTCCCAGTGTCACCCATCCGCTCCTCCCCCACACACACATCACATGGCACCTCCCAGTGTCACCCATCCGCTCCTCCCCCACACACACATCACATGGCACCTCCCAGTGTCACCCATCCGCTCCTCCCCCACACACACATCACATGGCACCTCCCAGTGTCACCCATCCGCTCCTCCCCCACACACACATCACATGGCACCTCCCAGTGTCACCCATCCGCTCCTCCCCCACACACACATCACATGGCACCTCCCAGTGTCACCCATCCGCTCCTCCCCCACACACACATCACATGGCACCTCCCAGTGTCACCCATCCGCTCCTCCCCCACACACACATCACATGGCACCTCCCAGTGTCACCCATCCGCTCCTCCCCCACACACACATCACATGGCACCTCCCAGTGTCACCCATCCGCTCCTCCCCCACACACACATCACATGGCACCTCCCAGTGTCACCCATCCGCTCCTCCCCCACACACGTGATCTTACCACCAAGACGTTCCCCACGAAGCCGGGCCCGGCATGGAGCCATTCGGGGTGTTTGTGTCGCACAGACTGAAGGTACAAGCACATGCCGGTCAGGAAGTCTTTGGGTTGCCCGATGTCCATCCAAAATCCTGCAGACAGGAAGACGAGTCAGTCACATGACGGCATTAAACATAAAGCTCCGCCCCCCCAACTTAGACATACGGCCTCTCCTGCTGACCTTGGAGCTCCATTGCAAATAGTTCTCCTTCCTGAGCCATGGCCGGGAAAATCTCCTTCTCGATGGACGTCGGACGTAGCTGCGGAGATCAGATGATGGACAGTGAGGATGAGCATGACCCAACATGGCTGCCAACCCTCCAACATCCGTGACGTACCGACACAGACCTCCCTATAACTCTTCCGGACTGAGGCTTTGAGGAGCCCGGGGCCCCTCGACATGTCCCCTCAATTCAGCTTAGCATACAGGTTTTAGTTGAACGGAGAGGACAGGAAGGTGATTGGCTGAGGTTCTGAGGCCTGCCTGGTCAATCACCCCCCCCAGAACAATCAGGACGTGGTGACTTCCGGATCCGGCTGGGTCAGGGAACGTCACTTCCTGTCTATGGCTGACTTACACCCCGGAGATGATCCCGCCTCCCTAGAAGGACCTTTACCAGCCCGGTGTCGGGGTATCTTCTCCCCCCCCCCCATGGGGCTCAGCACACTAATGGCGGGAAGTGATCATTGTTGGGGCCGTACGCGGACGAAGGAGAGACATGGAAACCGTCACTCAGATATTGTTGTATCAGCTCCCGTTATTCATCGATAACATTTCTATACATGGGTCCTGGTGAGAGGCGGAGTCACCATCACACCGCGCGATATACCGGGGGGGAGTGGCAATCTGAATCCCTGGCCTGGACCGCCATCAGGTGGGTATGGCCGGTACTTGTGTGAGGGGCCCAGGCTCCAAGCAAGAGTTGAGGAGGAGGAGAGACACTGACCGACATTGGGAGGGGGGGAGAATATGGTGTCATGTGACCTGTACACGCGGCGGCATCGTGCGCTCGCCGAGCGTAGCACGCGGGTCCCGTGTATGTGAACGCGCCGCGGTCCGCTTACCTGGATCCGGTCCAGTATGGACGGGCTGAAGATATATAATCCGGAGTTGATCTTGTTGGAGACGAAGACTTGCGGTTTCTCCACAAAGCGCTGGATTCTGCCCGTCTCTGCCTCGTATATCACCACGCCGTACTTCGAGGGTTCCTCCACCTTCGTGACCTGCGGGGAGAGTGAAATATCGGATGTCAGCTTCTCCCCCCTCAGCAGTCCGCGTGTCGCCATTCGCTCGGAGGG